CACAGTGAGGGAGGGGCCCAGTGGAAAATTAATTTTCATTTAGGATGTTTATTTTTTTAATAGAATAGAATAGAAATAATTATGAACAACATAAAACAAAGTAAAAAGTAGATTTGACATTTTTATTTTTAATAGTTCCTGTTCATCCCTCAGCCTTTCAGATCAGGTTTTATTTGGGCTTCAGAACCTTCTTGCTTGTTTTCAGCAGAGGGAAGGTRTGGGTCTGCTGTGCCTGGATTCATGGTTCTGAATGCACGTGGAGACCCCTAGTGGCTGTTTCTGAGTTCAACACAACCCAGTGGAGGATGGAGCTGAAAAAACAATGAATGATGCATTCAAATGTTTCTTTTTGTGACACGTTTATATCTATAATCTGTCTGAACAAACAAACAAACAAATAAACTGGATGCAATGTTTTCAACTTCAATTTTTAAAAGTATTTTATCTTTTATTCACCACCAATGTCAGCATTTATACAAAGAGACAAATAAATGCATATTCATAAAGCTTAAATACGACAAACTCAAACTTTTTGGCTTTTCTAAAATAAATTTGATCACATAATTGTCCAAAAATACATTTTTTACTGAAACATTTAAAATAAATCAAGACTTGATTACATTTAGTTGACAAATTTTGTTCGTTTGCTTTGTTTTCAAATCTCAAAAGTGCAAGTTTTTTTCTGCACCAGTCTAAAATAACCCAACTAAAGATGTGAAACTGTGCAGGTTTTTTTTCTTTCTTTCTTTTTCTCCCACAGTGATTAATGTTTGAGCATCTGTGTGCTGTTTAGCCAAGCATGCATTGCATTTAGCAAATCCATTTTCAGTGTTTTACACTCAAAGCTGCTGACAAATGAGGCCCATTAGGCCTTTTAGTCCAGGCAAACACAAACCGGAATAGAATCGTTCGGTGCTGTAGCTGAGATGGAATTTAACAATTTGTTTTCCATTTTAAACGTAAAGCAGCTCCGCAACTCCTGAGTTTTCAAGTCATTTGAACAAATTATTTTTATTGTTGTTGCAATTTTGTTAGGCGAACGACAAATCCAGTTAATAAACGAGACACAGTGGCCATGAGGGAATGATTATGTATTAACAAAAAAACTCCAAAATGAGTGAAATTTGGTGCAAGTTTGTCAGTCATCAGGAAACTTTCAGTGTTTGTTTTCTTCCTGTTTCGACCCGATCCGACGTTCTGCTCTCCGCTCTCTAACCCAGGCTGCAACGAGAACGACACGGACCACTTGGACCGGGACCAGCAGGCCTACGCTCCCACGCAGAAAACCAAACGAATGCGGACCTCCTTCAAGCACCATCAGCTGCGGACAATGAAATCCTACTTCGCCATCAACCACAACCCGGACGCCAAGGACTTAAAGCAGCTGGCCCAGAAAACGGGCCTCACTAAGCGAGTTCTACAGGTAAGCCCGGCAGCCATTCCTCTAACTGATGTGTGTCTG